AAACAAATTAAATTATTAATTTTACTCAATTTAGGATTATAATATCATCCTTCAAAATTTTTATATGCTCCATTCTTGGCTAAATGATCTGCTTGTTTATTATCATAAACACTAAATCTTTTAACCTCGGTAAATTTTATAACTCCTTTTTGATTATTAATCAAAAATTTCAACCTTCTTTTTAATTCGATATGTTTTTTACATTTTTTATCACGTCCACTCACAATACCCATAACACATCCGCTATCCGTAATAATTTCTAAATTCTTTATGTTTTCACATATCTCAAGAGCTCGGATAACTGCACATATCTCAGCTCGATTAGCATCATTATGATCTTTATGTAACCGTTCTGATAAATTTCTTGGATCGTTATCACCGAAAAATACTCCAATGCCAGATCTTTTTATTCTACGATCAAAAAAACTACCATCAGTCCAAACTCTTGTAATTTCATTATCATTCATATCATTCATAAAATATTTGGAATAAATCATATAAAATAAAAAATATATAAAGAATATTTATAAATCATTTAATTAATAATTATGATTTGAAATTAATAAAAAAAAAATACAAAATTAAATTATAAATATTATCTTTGTTGATTTATCAATAATCTATAATCATTTGATAATTTTAACAAATAATATTTTAAATACAAAAATAATTGTTTCCAAATTAAATAATCAATTTCTGTTTCCATATATAAAGTTTGATAAATTAAAATATAAATAATTTTATAACTAACGGGAAGATAATATTCTAATTTAGAATAAAGAATATATAAAATTCCTATATTATGATCCATATTTCCTTGGATACATCTGTCAATCATATTTTCTAAATTATTGGAAATACCTAAAATCTTTACTATTTTATCCGTATCCAAAATAGAATTGTCCATTATTTCCAAAACACTCTCTAAAGAAAATACATTTAATCTTTTTCTTTCAACACAATAATAATATGTATAATCATCATGTATCTTGTAAAAAAATAATTTGACATAATATATTTTCTCGTAATATTCACAATATCGATTATAATCAGAAGATTCACGATAATATTTTTCTCTAAATTCGAATATTGCATATGGAACATGATTATTCCAACTACATGGAATATCTGATTTTTCATAAATATCATGTTTGTATGCAGTCAATAAATCCCATAAACTACCACAATAAACCGTTATATTACCATCATTATTATCATTTTTACAATTTTCCCGAGTACAATTCAAGGGAAATATCTCTTTAGTAAATCCAAATTTTTTGTAAAAACATTTTGCAAATTTATTCCGAAAATAATTATAAAAACTTTTACATGTGAATAATATTCCTTCAATTGTTTTCACAGGTTTTTTACTATAAAAAATATCTAATTCAAATATTTCGTATAATATAATATCAATAATAATATAATATATTTCAAAAGAAAATTTAGAACAAATCAAAGCCATTTTCTTTTTAATTCATAAATTCACAAAACTGAAATATTTATAATTCATTAAATTAATAATTTAAATTTTATAAAAAAATTATTTTTTCAATAAACTAACTGAAAAATCATTATCGAAATAATATTGTATAAACATATCAGAATTTAAATCACAAACTATACTTCCTCCATCTTTTTTAGTAATTAAATCTTTAAACGATTTAAGATAAAATTGATAAATATCTCTAATATTAATATAGATATACATGATTTTTGATAATTTACTCTTAATAAACAAAGTAAATTGTCTAAGTTCAGGAACATTACCATTTAAATAAATATATATTTTTTCATTATTATCAAATAATAAATTCATAAAGATTCTAGTAGCGTGCACATCTCGAAACAAATATCGATAAATATGATAAACATCAATTAACTTTATCATCGAAGAATAATTAAACATATTTTCCTCTTTATCCCAAATTATTTCTCTAATTTTAATCTGATTATCATAAAAACATTCTCTTTTTGATACATATGTATCAATATAATCTTGATTTTCTTTTGATAATTCTCTATATAATAATTTCAAATAACATTTAACAATTTTTAAATTATGTTTCATATATTTGTAAAGTACAGGTATAACCAATTTACAGTTATTCCTATCTGTCATCATAAGATTAAATAGTGAAAATGTATCTTTACATAAATACTCCTCACATATAATCATGAAAATTTCAGTTGGTAATAAAAATAATTTTGACATTGTGATAAATTCCAAATAAAAGAATAAAAATAGTATTTAAAACTTTTGATAATTATTAATGATATAACTTAAATAAATTAAAATTTTAAATAATTCTTTGATTTTTCATATTGTAACAATAACATAGATTCAGAAAAAGCTGTATGTATATTCGATTTAACATAATTAAAACTAATGTAATTATTTCCTCGTAATAAACATTCATACTTAGTAAAGATGTATTCTAATTGTTTTTTCCTTTTATCTATATCTTTTAACCTTTCTAAAATATCGTAATCCACAATAAAACTATTATTTTCAATCAATAACATCTTTTCAATCTCTTTCTTTTTTTTCTTATTATCATCAATTCTATCATTGTACTTTTTAAAATCTGATTTATATTCCTCTAATAATTTCTCAAGATTTTCTTTTTTCTTATGATATTTCTCGATTACATGTTTTCTTTTATCTTGAATAAATTCGATATATAAGTAATAAGATTTATTTTTAGGATTATCTGATTTAAAAATTATATCGTATTTATTAATATATTTTTTCTTCATTTTCTTTTAATAAGAAATATTCATCAATCAATAATATTTATAAATAAAAATCAATTATTAATCATAATAAATAGTTGATAATTCCAATTTATCATTCATAATATCAAATAAATAATATTCAAATACTATTAATAAATATAAAATT